CCCTCCTCCATCCTCCCTTCCCCCCTCCTCCCTCCTCCTAACCTCCTCTCTCCTCTCTCCTCCCTCCTCCCCCTCCCCCTCTCCTCCTCCCCTCACCTGTATGAAGGCAGTCTTGCGATAGATCTTTAGCGGCGTTCCGACCAGCTTCAGCTTCTTCACGACATTGACCGACTTGTCAAGGTCAAGCACGACGCCCGTCGCAGCGACGCGGAACTCCGCCGTCGCCTCGGCAACCGACTGCACGGCCATGAATCCAGTCGTCTGCGGCGTGATCGGTCCTGCAGCAGCGAGAGGAGAGTCAGCGTCGCCGCGGATACCGCGCGTGTAGATTTTTCGTTTATTACAGTATTTCTCTTTCGTTTACGGAATTTCTCTTGTGTTTACAAGATTTTTCTGCTCGATCTGCTATTATTAAATTATTCATGTAGTTTTTCAGTGTAGTTTTAATCATTTAGTTAGTTTTAATAATTTAATCATCAGTTAGTTTTAATCATTCAGTGTAGTTTTTCGTTTATCGGTGTCCCTGGGTATATTGTCTTCTGGGGTGAGGCTCTGTCCCTGTTGGTGTCCCTGGGTGAGTTGCATCATAGTGTTGTCGCATGGGGTGAGACTGTCCCCAAACACATGTTTGTTGGTGTTCCTGGGTATGTTGTCTTCTGAGCTGAGATGTCATCACCACATGCATGTATTTGTTGGTGTCACACTGGGTGTTGTCTTATGGTGTTAGTCACTGTCCCCATGCGTGTGTGTTTGTTGGTGTCACGCTGGGTGTGTTGCATGGCTATGTTGTCATCGGGGGTGAAACACGCTGTCTCCAGGCGTGTGTCCCCGTGTCTGCACATGTGTGTTAAGTACAATCGTATATCTGCACAGCTGTGTGAGCGTGCATGCGCGTACACGTAATGTAACGTCATGAATAATTTAATAATAGCAGATCGAGCAGAAAAATCCTGTAAACACAAGAGAAATGCCGTAAACGAAAGACAAATACTGTAAGTGCGTTGGTGTCACACATTGTTATGTTGTCTTCTGGGGTGAGTTGCTGTCCCTGTTGGTGTCCCTGGGTGAGTCATCGTTCACGTGTGGGGGGGAGCATCCGAGTGCGTGTGTGCTTGTGGGGTGTCCCTGTTAGTGTCCTTGTTAGTGTCCCTGGGTGTGTTGTCTTCCGGGGTGAGTCACCGTTCACGTTTGTGTGTGGGGGGGGGCGTCCGCACGCGCGTGTAACAGGGACACCAACAGGGACACCAACAGAGACACCAACAGGGACACACCCAGGGACACCTACAGGTACAGTGACTCACCCCAGAAGACGGCATTGCAGTGCATGTGCTCGGGCGTGTACTTGAGCAGGCGGCTGCGCATGTTGTGGTCCTGCACGTAGTAGAGCGGGATCGTCTGGAAGCGACGCCAGCCGAGCGAGACGACAAGCGGATCGCGAGTCTTCAGGATGCGCCGATGCCACCGATGCTTCTTGACACGCACCTGCGCAATACACACAGGTACCAGGTACGCACGCGGTAACGAGGTGAGAGGGGAGGGTTAAGGATGTGCCGATGCCACCGATGCTTCTTGACACGCACCTGCGCGATACACACACAGGTACCAGGTGAGACAGGAACAGGTAAGGGAGACCCCAAGCGCGTGTTACTATCCAAAGCCATGCTCGTGATTGATAGCTGGTGCCTGTACAATGCACCCTCCATTGCCCTCTCACTCTCTCTCTCTC